CATTGGGACAAGGGGGTTAAGCGAAGCCTCGCCATTGATGCTATGATCGAGCCAGCGCTACACACTCTGGGCTATGCCATGGTGTAACTCGCGAGCACACAGGAGCTCTTCACTCTGCGGTGTGTTATAATTTTTTTGACATAGGGTGCAGGCAGATTACGGCCTCACATGCTGCTGCCAGGCCCTAATCTGCCATGGGCCCCTATATACCGCCTCCTCATGCTGCTGCCAAGTCCAGAGTCTCTCATGGGTCCCTGTACGGCCTGCCATTGCTGCTGTCTCCATCGCCACACTCTGCTGCCATGTGCCACTTTCAGGTCTCTTCACACTGCTGGTGTGTTAAATTTTTTGACATAGGGTGCTGGCAGATTTAGAATACGGGCCTCCCATTGCTGCTGCCAGACATGTATAATCTGCCATGGGCCCCCGTACCGACTCCTCATGCTGTGACGTTGCAACAAGGTGTAATTCAACCCTACATAGTTTAGACGGCCTTTAAAACAGCTAAAGGCCATCACAGATTTCCTGATGTTAAAAGCGGATAAAGGTACTCCTGGTGTACTTATATGTCACGCCATTGTCAGCTCATGTGTGACACCTGCGCTTGCTCAGGCCCTTTGAGGAGGCCACGCTATTCGTGAGTCGTCGGCAGGACTATGGGATGAATGAGGTCAAATCGGCCATGGGCCCCCGTACCGCCTGTTCACGCTGATGCTGGTCCCACAGTGTGACCTGGGTCCCTGTACGGCCTCCCATTGCTTCCACTCTGCCATGTACCTCTTTGAAATCTCCTCACACTCCTGCGGTTGTCCATCCATTTTGTCATAGGTTGCTGGCAGATTAGCGGCCTTCCATAGGTGCCGCCAGGCCCCATATCGACCATGGGCCCCCGTACCTCCTGGTCACGCTGCTGCTGAGCCCACAGTGTGACCTGGGTCCCTGTACGGCCTCCCATTGCTTCCACTCTGCCATGTGCCACTTTGAAATCTCCTCACACTCCTGCGGTTGTCCATTTTGTCATAGGTCGCTGGCAGATTACAGGCCTTCCATAGGTGCCACCAAGCCCCATATCGGCCATGGGCCCCCGTACCGCCTGGTCACGCTGCTGCTGGGCCCACAGTGTGACCTGGGTCCCTGTACCGCCTCCCATTGCTCCCACTCTGCCATGTGCCACTTTCAGGTCTCCTCACGCTCCTGCTGGTTTCCATTTTGTCATAGGTTGCTGTATGGCCTCCCATTGCTGCTGCCTCCACCGCCACACTGTGGCTCCAAACACTGGTTTTGGCCCCGTGACTGGCCAAAGGAGTGAAGTGTGCAGTGATTCTAAGATCGACGGCACTCATCTGCATGTCATACTGACAGACAGTATTATTTCTCTTCCCAGCAGACTCCAAGGGCATTTAAATTAAAGGTACAGTGTTCTGCACTAATATTAAGTCTCTCTGAAGCCTAGAAACACCCTTTTTTAGTCGAATCGAATTTTTCATTTCTTCGCTCATCTCTAATATATATATATATTTATTGCACACGTGATATTGCTGTTCCGAGTAGGGGGCACGCGCCCTACCCGCGCCTCGGCTGTTACTCACCGGGTCCCAGCTGGTGATCGCCGAGTATTACCGACGGGGGGAGAGAACTGTATGTAAACAATATGGTTCTCGCCCGTCAGCTCCATACACTGCTTTGTATGGCTCTGCATAGTAGAGCCATGCAAATCAGTGTGCTTAACAGTGAAGCACACAAACAGTAAAACAGCACACAGTTAACCCTTTGATCGCCCCTCACGTTAACCCCTTCCTGCCCAGTGTCATTAGTACAGTGTCAGTGCTTTTCATTAGCACTGATCACTGTATTGGTGTCACTGGGGATGTCAGTGACACCAAGTCAGATCCCCCTAGGAATACTAAAGAATGCCTGCCGCAGTCCTGCTATAAGTCACTGATCGCCGCCATTACTAGTAAAAAAAATGTTTTAAATTCCAGTATCTATACTGCCATTTGTAAACGCTATAACTTTCATGTAAACCAATTAATTTACACCTGTTGGGATAGTCTTTTTTAGCAAAGACTTGTTGCAGAATACATTTTGTCCTACATTTATGCTAAAATTAGATTTTTTAAATTTTTTTACTGGACATGTTTAATAGCAAAAAGTAAAATAAAAAAGATTTTTTTCAAAATGTTTGGTCTTTTTTTTGTTTATAGAACAAAAAATAAAAACCGCACAGGCGATCAAATACCACCAAAAAAAAGCTCAATTTGTGGGGAAAAAAGGACGTAAATTTCATTTGGGTGCAGCGTTGCATGACCGCGCAATTGTCAGTTAAAGTAATGCAGCGCTGTAACACAGAAAATGACCTGGTCATGAAGGGGGGTAAATCCTGTGGAGGGCAAGGGGTTAAATAAGCCCTTGTTTACCATGTCATTGATAAATTTACCTTGGTAGACAAGGTGTTAAAATGTTCTTGTTGAAAACTCTAAAGTAAACTCTGATTGAGAATATAAACAGGAACATCCCGGAAAAGGCAGGAACTCCCAGCTAGTGAAAGTGAAACCTTCCCAGTCATGCTTTTCTTTCTTTAGACTCGCCCAAGATTCTCCATCTTTCTGTGTTCCGAGCTGCCAGAAGTTCACTTCATAAATCATCTGATCTGGAAGGTAAGGACAAATGTAACCCTGTGTTATATAGTAGGGTAATACACAGGGCTAGAGGCAGGGGCGGACTGACAACTCATGGGGCCCCCGTGCAATAGGGGATCATGGGGCCCCTGTGTCCTTGCCCACACTCAAAAAAGCCTATAAAAAAGGTACCAGGGGCATTTCTCGGGGCCCCCTACTGACCCCGGGCCCTCAGGCAGTGCCCGATTGCTCGAATGGTCAGTCCGCCCCTGGCTAGAGGGGATCCTCCAGATATGTAATTATAGAGAATGGTATGTTGTAAGGTCCTAGAATCTCTCTGTTTACATTTGCGGCTTATGGTGATCAACTAAAAACTTCTGTAAGACCCCGATCACATCGGGTGGGACTTGGCATGTGATTTGCATGCCATGTGAGTTGCAGATTGCATGCCAAGTCGCACCCTATTGTCCGCAATTACAGCGGTCATATTTGTGCGGTTTAGACTTCGGATCCGCACCGATTTCTAAACTAGTACAGGCACGACTTTTGGTCTGATTTGCATAGACATCTGTGTCAGATGTCTTGAAAATCACACCTGAAATCTGCATGTCCTGAAATCGTGCGACTTCACTGTAGGTCGCACGATTTCAATGTCGGGCTTGATGAGACCGGGGTGTAAGATTTTCCTGATCCTGATGTCGCTTCTAAGAAATATGTGTGTTAGGACTTGTTCACACTTAACTATAGCGTTAGGCATTTTACAAGCGTTAAAAACGCTCCCTAAATGCCTTATGCGCGGTTTTGAAGCGTTTTATAGGCATTTTACAATCATTAAAACCGCACCACAAATGCCTATAATGAACTTAATGGTATTAACGCCCTGCAAACGCCTGCCAGGCGTTTGAGAAGTGTTACCATGCACTTGAATGGGAGGCGTTGAAAGGCTTTAACTCGTGACTGGACATGAGGCATCAATTTTGATGTGTGCCGCGCCGGTAACGCTTCAATATGAACAGCACTGTGTGCTGTCTTGTGTATAGTTTTCATAGGCGTTTGAGGAGAGTTAAAAATGCCCCTCAAACATCTGCTTTCAACGCTAGTGTGAAGTGAGCCTTAGGCTACGTTCACACTAGCACTAGCGGACTGTTAAAAATGCTCCGCAAAGCCAGACCAACGCTTGTCTAACGCTATAGGGGCGTTTGGCAAGAGTTGGAAAAAAAGTCAAGTGTGAATAAGCCCTAACTGTGACATTCTTAATCCTCATATACACTGGATATTTTTACAGCTGCTTTTTCACTTTTGACATTTTTTTCTACAGCCAGTAAACCCCCCAGGATGTTATCCTATGTGTCCATGCACAATAGACTGTAATCAACAGTTTTTGGCTGGAAAAACCCAGGACTAGTGGGTTTCTAGAGGAGTCTTTTAGCTGTAAAAACGCTCTAATGCTGAAAAACGTGGCAAAACCAGCGTTTTTGGACTTTTTTTGACCAAAGAAAATTTGTGGGAAAAATGTGGGAAAACGCAGCTAATCACAGCAAAACGCAGCTAAACGCTAATGCAAAAGCGCTAAAAAAAGCTGAAAAACTTGCGTTTTTAACGAGACTTTACACAGCTAATTTTACCAGCGTTATCAAAACGCCCCGTGTGCATGGAGACTTATAGTTTATATACTTTTTATCTGAATACAGAGCTGAGACTAAATCCAGGGAAAATGAGCAGAAACTAATCATTCCTAAAAGCTAAGCTGGTCATAGACAGTTTATTTCTTTGTTCAGCCAGCATGCTGAATGAGAAAAAAAAACTAACAGATTAATCCATCCAAACAATTGAGGTAGATGGAAGAATTTCCCCCCTAGGACACTATTCTGACAGCTGGACTCTCCCGGTCAACAAAGGTTTTCCAGGCTTGACCATTTGACAGTTTAACAATGGAGAGGGTTCCCACACAGGGATTGAAATTCAGCTAGGTGTTGCTGAACTAGCTGAATTTACATCCGTCTATTGCCAGCTTGAGTCCACCTTTTACAAAACAATTATACATGCAAACCCCATCTGCAGAAAAGAAAAATGTGCATTGATTTTTATACGAATGGGCCTACAAAGCATTGCAACTACAATCACTGGATGGCGGGTACAATCAGGGCCAGTGCTTTCATTAGGCAAACTAGGCGGCTGCCTAGGGTGAACTGGCACCTGGGTGCAGCAGAGGCGGTCGCTCTCTCTGTGTGGGATGCCGCCACATCATGAATGATCCTTCAGCTGAGGGGAGGAAGAAAGGACAGAGGAAGATGTTTGGTGTCTGGGGCGAGTGTAGCAGCTGAGATGACGTTTCTTCCAGTGTTCCTCTCAGGCTCAGTCCCTTATTGCAAGCCAGCTTCTCATCACTGTGGAGTTCCGGCGCTTCTCTTCCCATTCATCAGCTGAGGCGGAGCTGTGCCTGTGGAGGAAGGTAATGTCTGACTCTGATGTCTCATGTCTGTGTGAGTGTGACCTCGTTGGCCAGCCATCCTTTATACAGTATGTGCAGTGTGTTGGTGAGTGATGACATCACAATCCCTCATCCTGCTCTTCTATTGCCTGCTGATCTGTGTCTGTGTTGGTGGTGGTGTGTTGTGTCAGATCTGTCACTGCGTGGGATCGCTCAGTTCAGGTGTTCTCTCTGTGTGTGGCTGCCTGCTGTCAGTGTTTTATCTCCGCCCATTGCCTGCGGAATTCCAGCTTGGGATCTGTCAGAGTGTAGAGCCATCATGCTCCATACTGTCCGTTGGGGACATTGATTTTGTCTTTAACCACTTGCCAACCACGCCATAGCCGAATGACGTCTACAGCGTGGTTGTCCAGTCCTGGGAGGGCGTCCTATGATGTTCTCCCAGAACACGCCCTCCTGCGCGTGCCCTCTGGCGATCTCCGTGATCGCTGTTTCCCATTGACACAGCTGATCACATGATGTGGTAAAAGGACAATCACAGCGGCCTTTTACCATGTGATCAGCTGTGTCCAATGACACAGCAGATCACCGGTAAATGCAGTTGCTGGTTATCGGCTGCACTTTCCTCACACTGTAATAGCATGAGGAAAGTACTGCCGATAACCAGCAATTGTCAGAAGCGGATCGACACCGATCATCAGGGCACTGATGATCAGTGCCCTGCAGTGCCGCCCACCTGTGCCCAGCAGTGCTGCCCATCAGTGCCATCCACCTGTGCCCAGCAGTGCCTAGTAGTGCCACCCATCAGTGCCCATCATTGTTGCATATCAGTGCTGCATCTCAGTGCCGCCTATCAGTGCTGCATCTCAGTGCCCATCAGTGCTGCCTTATCAACGTACATCAGTGAAGGAGAAAAATTACCTGTTTGCAAACTTTTATAATAGAAACAAAGAACAACTTTTTTTATTCTTCATTTTTTGCTCTTTTATTGTTTATAGCGCAAAAAATAAAACACCCAGCAGCATTAAATACCACTAAAAGAAAGCTCAATTTGTGTGAAAAAAAATGATAAAACGTTCATATGGGTACAGTGTTGCATGACCGCGCAATTGCCACTCAAAGTGCAACAGCGCTGAAAGCTGAAAATTGGCCT